TTAAGAAATTATTTAAATTAGCTTGATGGACTAGGGAGTTCTCTCAGATTATATAAGACTGTAAGGGTGCGTTTGGTTCACGGAATGTAAGATTACTAGTGGGAATAAAAGATTACCAGTGGGAATAAAAGATTACCAGGGAATAGGATTACTGGGAATGTTGTATTTTGTGTTTGATTGGTTTAGTAGGAATGTAAGATTACCGTGTTTGGTTAAAGGAATAAAAGATTATTGGAATGTATATTTGACCAAATTGTCCTTTATATATTGTATAATATTACAAATTGTAAAATATTTATATTTTCTTTAAAAAATTAAATTCATAATATTTATATAATTTTTTTACAAAATTAAAAATATAAAAAATGTTTAATGAAAGGGTAAAAAAAAATTTAACCCTAAACTTCATATAAAATTTTAATTATAGATTTTTTTTTGTAAATCTAAAATAATTTAAGGATAAATTTGTAATTTAACCTTAATAGAATTTTTATTATTCAATGACAGAAGAAGAATATTTTTGAAAAAAAATAAAAATTTAAGGGCATTTTAGTCCAAAACGCCGGTAATGTTACAATACCTAAGGGAAGGAAGGTAATGACATTCTCGGGAATATACCCCAAAAAATCTACTATTGGCAATAAAATATTACCGGGAATGAGATTCCCACGATCCTTGAACCAAACACCCCCTAAGAGCCTTACAAATAAATTGGTGGTTTGGAGATGAAGCAGGAGAAATAGGTCTGGAGAAGAAAACATATGGAAAAGAAAGGGTAAATTGATACGATATCCCTGAACTATTTTGGGTTTAAAAAAAGACTCATGATTAATAATTTATCTAAAGTTTAAGGGTTCAAATAGAAATTAAACCTTTTTACTAAAGTGCCACATCATCTAACTCACGGCAGCTAACGTCCCAGTGACCGCATCTTAATTAAAACGAAACGATGTTTTCTGAATCTAGTGGCCATACGTTTATAAAATAGAAACAAAAGTGACAAACTTTGTAGTTTACCCTTTTTTTAAACAACTGTAAATGAAACACCATTTTTTTATCGCTTATAAGGTTGACTGGCATATTGTTTATTTAAGTTATTATTTTCTTTGTTTTAATTATTGTTTATATTATTTAAAATCTTCCACACATTTAAATTAGAAGGAACATTAAAAGTATGTTTATTCTATATCTGTATAATTATACTAACGATAAAATTAATAAAACTAAACTCAATTAACATATTTAAATTATTATGTATGAAAAAGTTCTAGAAAAATGAAAATATCCATCTAATATATATTTAATACGGGTGTGCAAATTCGGGTACCCGAAGTGCTAGGTACCAGGATTTTCAGGTAATTGATTTCTCGGCCCATATCCCGGCCCGGATGTTGTAGACCTGGTTTTTTTCTTCAAATTATTAATTAAAAACACACACACAAATTTAAATGTTCGAAAGTTCGAATTACATAGTCCAACATCCAAACATAATTAAAAAATGTTAGTCCAACATCCAAACATAATTAGAAAATGTCATGTTAGCATCATTGTTCATTTTTAAATAGGGTGAACAAAACAAAATCAAAACGTAACATTAGGTATAATTTTAAAAAAATAATAATAAAGTGCTCAAAACATAAATTAGATAATAGATAAGTGACCAAATAGGTAGTTTACCCTAAATAAAAATATATATAAATTATATTAGATAATATATTAGTGACCAAATAGGTAGTTTACCCTAAATAATAATCGAGTAACCAAAACATAAATTAGATAATATATAAGTGACCAAATAGGTAGTTTACTCTAAATAATAATCTAGTGACCAAAATATAAATTAGATAATATATAAGTGACCAAATAGGTAGTTTATCCTAAATAATAATCGAGTGACCAAATCATAAATTAGATAATATTTAAATGACCAAATAGGTAGTTTACCCTAAAAAAACCCTAACCAGGTACCCGAAAAAATTCAATTTTGTGATCCGGACCGACCCAGTAAACATCGGGTCGGATAAATTTTTTTTTATAAAAAAATTACCTGATATTTTAAATTCGAATTGACGGGTCAACCGGGTTGAAGAATTTTGCACACCCCTAATCATTACTTTACCATTTTTGTTTTCATCAACATTTAGCTATGATCATACATATCATCATCATCATACGAGTCATTATTAAAAGAGAGAAGATGGCCGACAGATCTGTCGTTTTAGGGGTAAGTTAATATAATCGTACGATGACGAACTAAGTCCACTCCAATTAATATTTATCAAGTCATTTGAATAATCCTATTTCAACTCTATTATTTTTATTTTTCTGATGTAACAATATTATATTTTATAAAAGATTGATTTGCTTGCAAGGAGTAAAACAATTATAGGTGGGTAAAAGTCATACCTTTGGTGTTGTCTGTCTGTATTCGATTAATAACCATTAATCTAATTTATTCAATATTTAATAATATATTGGTGAACTTTATAATTTTATTTTACAAAAAATGACTATACTTTGTAGATAATTTCCATTTGTTATTTTAATTCTTTACAAAATGGATGAAATGTCTAAACATTAGTTTATTTGTTATTGTCCATTTCACATTGGCCCTCGGGTAAATACCTTGGACGAACGCAAATGTTATAAGAAGTGAGTTTAAGAAATTATTAAGAATTTGAGAATGTAAAATTATAGAATTTTAAAAGATGTGAAATTGTATTATTGAATAAAAAAATATGAAAAAGTACATAAAATATTAAAAAAATTAAAATTGTTAGAGGGTATAATCGCACCTCAATATCCCATGTATCCATGACTATACCGTTATTATATCAGATATTAACTAATTAATATAAGTAAATAAATTCAAATATCTTTTAAAATTTTAAGATTATAGAGTGAAGTGTCAACTTAAGTTATTGAACTAAATAATTTGCAAGTCCAATCATACTTATGATTACGTGTGATTCAAGTCTTATTAAGGCATCTGAGGTTTGAGATAACATGACGAAAGATTTTTGTTTTGACTTCGTCCTTGAAGGTTAATTCGAAAGTTAAGGTCTCTACTTTTTTTTGAAAGTGGTTTTTGTATGCATTGGACATACAAAACAAGACGATTAATAAGGACCTTGTTAAGTACCAATTCATATCTTCTGTTATTTCTGAACTTGTATGGCTTCGAAAACTTCTCTTTGACTTTGGTGTTAGTGGTGATCATACATCTATTCCTCTATTTGGTGATAATACTAGCGCTATCAACATTGCAACCAATCTAGTTCATCATGAGCAGACGAAACACATTGAAGTTGATTTTCATTACATTCGTGAATTGGTTCGAGATAAAGGTTTATGCATTGTTCATGTCTCTTCCAATGATCAAATTGTAAACTTATTCACTAAACCTATGTCTTTTGCTCGCCGTGAGTATCTTGTGAGTAAATTGATGCTTGTTGACAACCATCATCAATTTGAGGGGATGTCAAATGGAGACGTTAGCAGACAATTAAGGAAGAAAATCTCTCCTAATATTTTGGGATTCATATTGTATATTTCTTATTTGTATTCCTTGATTAGCTAGGTTTACCATATATAGATATTAGTATTATTGAATATAGTAAGGGTGTAATCTTTACACGGTATACATACAAACTTTGTTTTATGTTCCATAATCTGACGTGTAGTAGCATTATCATAGCATCGACAACATTGCTATCACACTTTGTTGGCTCTTACGATCAACCAAAAATCGCCAAGAGGGGGTGAATTAGCCTTTAAAAATATTTGGTGTGGAAGCAATAAAAGATAAGAATTAGACGCAAGATTTATAGTGGTTTAACTTTCTCAACCAAAGTCTACATCTACCACCTTAGCTCCACACTAAGGATTTCAACAAATTCACTAATTTGTTATTTCTTTTTCTAGGCTCAAGAGTAACCTTTACAATTCTCTAGTTTTTAAACGCTAAACTATAACCACTTCCCTTTTACAAAGGATAAAAAATATAAACAAGAAACCTCACAAGGTAGGTGTTTACAAAGATTTAAGCTCACAAGAATAAAAACAAAAGATATTCAATTAAGCTCTATACACTTATATACAAGAGAAAAATGAAGGAAATATGAATGAAAACTCTTTCCTCTTGATCTCTAAGCTTGGATAGGTGTAGTAACCTTCTTCAAGTGTCCTTGTAGTGTTTTTTATTGTGTGGAATAAGTTGCTAGTCGTTTGTGACCGTTCGGGATGAGTTATATCCGTTGGGAAGCTTTAAAAAATGCAATAAAGGCCACCTACACATGCGGTTTCAAAATTTTTGAGAAATTTTTGAAACTTTGTGAAAGTATCGAAGCTTTTAAACCCACTGTTTTTGAAAGTTTCGAAACTTTTAGGAAAGTTTCGAAACTCTTACTTAAAAAATATGACCGTTGAAGAAAATCGGGTTGTTAAAACAATTTCTAGGTGTTTAATAAAAGTTTCAAAACTCTTACAAAATTTCCAAAAGTACCCATGTATGAACAATGTCATTAACAATGTCAAATAGTGACTAAATAGTGTTTTCATATTTAAAAAGTTTTAAACACATTTTAAACACTTTAAACATATTTTAATTAACTCAAATATTGAAAAATATTAAAAAAAATACTGAAAAATAGACCTCTAATAAAAAATACTGAAAAAATTAGACTTGTAATAACAAATAAATATTAGAAAAGAAATTTAATTTTAAAGTATGTCTTTAATAACAAATATTAAAAAAATTAAGTCCATGTTGATAAGTAGGGGGGAAATTAGATCCTTAATAACAAATTTTAGAAAAAAAAATATTGGCAAAAAAGTTGACAATTATATAAATAATAGAAAAAATAAAGTATAAGAGTATGCGCCTAAAAATAAATATTAGAAAAAAATTAGATCCTTAATGACAAATTAAAAATAATTGAACCCTAACAATGATATAAAATCACTTTTTATAGGTATAATATATTATAAAAATTCCGAACCTGTACAGGTGTCCTCCTACCGGTGCCAGATACGGCCCTGCAATTCTACAAGTAACAAATAAGTGATTAGTGGGTGCTTTCAACATCCGATCTACAGCAAGGACAATTGATTTGAGTTCCCAACAAAACCACCCACCATTTTTAAGAAAATCTTTAATAGCCATCCTGTTTAATTTCAACATTCATAAGAAGTTTTTAACCTTTGGTTCCAAATATTTCCTCACAACCAATGCTCTGACAATCCCAGATGCCATTTATTTCAGCTAAGTTTGCAACGCTCTATAAATGAGTTGAATTCATCTACCCTAATTGTCTTCCTCTGCAGCCACTTTGAGATGATTTTGAAATTGCTATACAAACCAAAGCGTCGAGATAATATTGTAATCCGTCCACTAACAAGAATATTGAGATGAAATTATAATCCCTTCGTTCACTAAAGCAACGAGATGACGTTGTAATCCCTCTATTAATTAAAGCATCTAGATTTTTTTAGCACAGAAAATATATTATTTGTTAAAATGAAAATTCATATAAAGTGGATATAGAACAATCCCAAAAAGGATACATGCAATATCCACACCTAAATCAAAACCTCCAATAATTCTCCTAACAAGATCCGCTATAACCCCAGATCATACAATTCAAACATCTTCCAAGTTGAGATAAAAAATCTCTGTGCCAATCAGAGTGTCGAGATGACTTTATGATCTTCATCCCTCCACTGATCGCAGCATTGAGATGCCTTTAGGCCGTTTACACGGAGATGCCCCTGTTGAATACTTTATAAGGGAGTTTAGCTGTTCTTGACGAGATCAGTATTTGCTTGGATTATATAATAATAATAATATTCAGTGAGAGAACCACAATCACAAAGAAATCCCAAGTCTCCGACTAATACACTCAAGGTGCGAGCATCAGCAAAAAAATAAAAAGCAACTTTATGCCCTATACTTGCATCAAGTCGTAGAGGAAATCATCATAATAGTAATACACGTCGTCAAAAGGAAATGGCAGCTCAAATCCATAATTTTCCATGGATGATGGATAACCATCCTGGTTGAAGATATTTTCTGCAACAAAGGGATTATTCCAGAAATCTCCACTGCTTTGAGCTTGGTATGTTTCCGCCGGAGGAAGAAAAGTGCCTTCAAAAGAGGACAACTCGGTATTTGAAGATGTTGCTGGAGACAAAGTTGAACTCTCCAAGATCATGTTGGCCGGAGTATCAACAAGGATGCTTTCAGCTCCACTTTCACCTTCAGAATTCTGGGTGGCTTCACTTGGACAACTAGAGTCTTCTTTGACATGATCAGATGTCGGATTTCGCTTTCCACGCTTCTTTAGACCGGAGTGCCAGTGATTTTTTATTTGGTTGTCTGTTCTTCCAGGTAAACATTTAGCCATGGCGGACCAACGGTTTCCAAATTGTTTATGTAATTTGATGATCAGTGAATCTTCTTCTTCAGTGAAGTTTCCGTGTTTTACTTCCGGCCGTAGGTAATTCATCCATCTTAACCTACAACTCTTTCCGCACCTTTTAAGACCTAAACAAACAACCAAAAAAGAAGAAGATCACTCAATGAACATGATCAAGAGATTGTCACATGAATCAATTAACAATTTCCAGAAACAGAAACAGTTTCTTTCCATAAAAGAATGAAAGTATACCAGCAACTTTAGGAAGTTGACGCCAGTTCCTATGGCCATATCTCTCGATAAAAGACCTTAGTTTATGATCTTCTTCGGGACTCCATTCACCTTTCTTTAACCCATTTTTATCATAGAAGGGAGCTCTCACCATCTTCCTTTCTTTCTATTATAGTAATATTCTGTCTTCAAGATCAAATACCCTATCGCAGATATCTAGATCTGGTGTGTTACAGATTAAACACAATGCAAGTAGGCCTTCATTTTATACTCATATCCCTGAGTAGAAAATAAAACGTGTTCAGATTAGTGATATAGAATTGCAGGTTTTAAAATTAATGCTACCAGGAAAATGTATACATATCTATTTAGGTCCTAGAGGATATTTGAGAAGTGTGATCACATGAAATGACAAAGAAGATACATATATTATATTTTATGACATTAGTAAATATATATAAATTATTGAAGGAAAGGGAAGTTTCTATCATACTAAAATGAATCCTGCAATGACCTTCGCAGCAGTATCTTCTTATCCACTCACATGCATTTAAAAATCTGAAATGACTTCATTTTGTTTCAAGTCCTTGTTTTCATACCTTCTTTGTCGACCTGCAATTTATTGTTCCCAGGGTGAGCATTCGATCGAGTCGAGTGAAAATTTTTTGAGTTATTCGAGTTGACAAGTCATATTTTACAACTCGAACTTAACTTGAAATTTTTTCGAGTTGAGTTTAAGAAATTCGAGTCGAGTTATTCGAGTTTCTATACTAATTTTATTATAATTATTTAAAGTGTTATGGCAATGATTTTTTACAATTTTTTGACTTTATCTAACCATAATATATATAATATTATTCTTTCATATTAAAATATTATTTAATATATCAAATACAATCTAAAATTATGAAAATATATTCATAATATTATATTTTAAAGAAAGTATTTTGAGGGTAAAAATATTGATGAGAGTATAAATGAGGCAATGAATTGATGAGAAGAAAGAATTTACAAACAATTGTAGTCAAAATATCAAATTGATTAAAGTACAAAGTTAAGGGACTAAATAAAAAAGAGAGTACATCTTTAGTAAAAAAATAAAATAACAATTGAAGTTACATAGCTATTCTATTGTGGTAAATGAGCATGTGGTTCAAATTTGGTAAAAATGGACTTAAAATAAATCACAAATTGAAGGAATAAGGAGATTATGAAAATTTGAAGAACTAAATTGGAAAATAAAAAATTTGTTATCAAAAAGAGGAATTGAAAGTACACATGTATTCTACTATGGTTTAGGAGCATGTGGCTCAAATTTGGTAAAAAAACGAACTTAAAAAAATGATGAATTGAAGAAATAAGGAGACTATGAATAATTGAAGGACTAAATTGAAAAATAAAAAATTTGTTATCAAAAAGATGAATTGAAAGTACACATGTATTCTACTATGGTTTAGGAGCATGTGGGTTCAAATTTGGTAAAAAAATAGACTTAAAATGGAGGAGGAATTGAAGAATTAATGAAATCAGGGACTAAATCATAAAACTGTCAAAATACTTAGTAAAATTTTTGATTTTTAGAGTAACTCGAAAATTCAAAATTTCAACTTGACTCGAACTTAAAAACCGAATTTATAATTTGATTTGACTCGAATAACTCGACTCAAATAATTCAAAATTGAAAAAAAATTATATTTTTCGAGTCGAGTTTTGCTGACTCCTTTTGTTAATGTCAGTTTGTCACCAAGTTCAAATAATGAAAAAAAATTTGTGTTTGGGCTTGGTTCAAAACTTAAAGCTTTATGCTATGTTATACATTTGGGACGGACGGAAAATATTATATTAGGGGACAAATTAAGATTTTTAAAATTTTAAAGGGTGAATTTAAACTTATAAAATTTCAGGGTCGAAAACATATTTTTAATTAAATATATATAGGAAAAATATAAAAAAAAATGTAGGGGCGAATGCCACCACTCGTCCTCAGTCCATCCGCTAGTTTCAGTGGTGAAATAAAGTGTTATCCTTCTTAAAAAATTTAAATGTGAGCAGTTTTTTTTTTGTAGGATGTGTTGTTAATAATTAAGAAATATTTTAAACACATACTATATTTTAATCCCTCAATTTCATAAATAATTTTATCGAACTTGAGTCCGTTATTAATTTGAATTTTACTAAAAATATATTTAGTTTAATCTATATTTTAAAATCGAACTGGATGACTTACTAGCAAATATCTTATTTACTATTAATTTCTTCTGTAAATGAATATATTCACCGTATTTACTCTAAATTCTCTTTTGTCCCTTTAAGTAAGTATGAGGTTATATTATCTGAAACTTAAATGTAATTAAATATATATATATATATATATATATATATATTTAAGAGAGAGAGAGAGAGAGAGAGAGAGAGAGAGAGAATTAAATATATTTTTAAATAATTGCAAATTGAACCTTGTTTATTTTGCCTTTAAAGGCTGAATGACATATTTACCAAAAGCTTTCTAGTATAAAATGACTTGGCAGGTCATCATCATATGATCATAATAATAAAATCTGATGACTTATTGAAGAGTAATGATAAACATTATGCGCTCTTCATCATATGTAGGGTCTTTTCTATAATTTTGATTATCATTATATGTTATTTTTTAAAAGAAGTTTAATATAATCTTGTTTTGACCATTTTCTTTTGTTGAATAAAAAAATGATAAACAGATCTGCACGATAGGAGGTAAACTTATTTAATCCTACGAGGATGAATCAACTCAATTCCATTTAGTATTTTACAAATCAATAAATTTCATTGAATAATGTGATTTCAATTCTGTTATCTACGAATCTAAATTAAAACCAACTCATTAAGGACTGCTAGGAGGCTGTAGATGGTAGTGGGGTATTCTTGGTGGCTGTTTTCTCAACAGTGTTTTGGCATCCAATCTTGTGATAAAGTTGGGTGGAGGGTGGATGTTGCCAAAGCAGGGATGTCTAAAATTTATTTTATTTGGTTGCTGGTTGTGGAGGAGTGATGAGCTGATTTTTTGGCGAAAATGACAAAAGGAAAAGAAAAAGAAAAGTATTTTTGGAACTTGAAGACTGCTATCCTCGTCTCTGTTCGCAGCAAACTTAGGTTGGCCGCATTGATCTGGTCAGTTTCGTCTTCAACTTTTTGACGTTACTTTGAGTGTAACAATGGTGATTTGCGTCTGCTTTTAGGGGTTTGTCAGGCACTCTAAAATCTTCTATAATTGGTATGTTTTGTGATGGTATTTTTAGTCGTTATGTTGCTTTGGTTGCGTTGAGTTAGTCGTTTTGTTAGATTCTCTTTTCTTGTCATTATTGTCGGGTGTATTTTAGTGCTTATTTTTATGACCTGCTTCTTGAAAGCATTGATTTATGACATTTTGGCCCTTATTTTTTCTGCGAATATTTTTAATTATTTTTTATTTTGATAATGTGACAATATATATTATTAAATCATTTGAAGCGATGCATCAAGATATATATATATATTGTTGAATAATTTGAAGCGACGTATCAATTTATATATATATATTTTGATAAGATTAATAATATATATATATATATATATATATATATATATA